CCCCAAAACCCCAAAACCCCAGTCTAAAAAAAATCTGTAATTTTTTAGCATTTAAGGATTTAACTCGATGTGTCTAAAGTATATAATTAAACTTTGTTTATAATATATTATATATCAGAGATTAAATTTGATAGGCTACGGCCTAGATGAAGCTCTTTGCTACTGCTGTGAAGGCTTTGCACTATTGTAATCAACTAGTCTTACTGGTGGATAGATATTATCATCTAGGCTATTGATTTAAATAATAGGAGGTGGTGGAGGAATCACATAATCATCCATTGGAACAGCTGATCTTTGCCTTTGATGAATATCAATATGACCATCATCATTAGTCTTATCACCTATTTATTGATGACTATGACTCTAATAAGATGTGGTCTGCTTCTTCAGTTTCTCTACTTACAATACTGTAGCTGACATTTCAGCAGCTATTTTTTACCAGAAAATTTAGTTTTGAATTATCAGAGATTTTACCCATTTCCAGATGAGAGCAACCATCAGTGCGCTAATTAGCAAAAGGAATGTAAAGAGTGAGCCAGAATAGATGAAAATTAAGTACATAAAGTCCATGCTATCCTTCATTTGATAATTAAACTGCATTTAAGCAGCTGTAGTAAGACCTTAAGCTATCACAAAAACATGCTGGTTAGCATCTATTACAAATGAGCTTCCAGCTTTGCACGCACTGTATTATGTTGCTTTAAGCATTGACTCTCCAAAAGCAATATAGCAATTGACGTTACTCGCAATTTTTATTTCGACTGAAATTTTCTTGTTGAAATAGTAATCACTCACAGTCTTGATTTTCCAAGCACAGACATTGTCCTTACCAAATGTATTTGAAGTCGCTGCTGTATGAATGCTATTATCAGTAAGGGTTGTTTGGGCCTTATCAAAGCACAAACTTTAACTAAAGGGACAGAAACTGAGTTTCATCGCATCATTTGGTGCTGCATCAGAGCATAAATACCTCGAAGATGAGCAATAATCATTCGTATTTGATTTGTCACAGCAATAACCGCTGCTAGATAACCATGAAGTCATGCAGAATTTATTATTTGTTGAGGCACTCAAGCATGACATGCAATTAGAAGAAGCTGTATAGCTATTTACCTAGGTAGAACTTAGTAAAAATACCAAGTAGATCATTAATAGTAAAGGATGGGCTTTTGTAAAGTGATTTTTTATCATTTTCTATATTTAAATTGTTTATGTTTTAGATTAGTATTTATTTATTAGAGGGGTTTTGGGGTTTTGGGG